CCCCCCCCCTTAGTGTGATATATCAAGGTTTAAGGCACGCAGCTCATTCCACTACCAATTGCTAAAGCAAAGAAGAACTCAGCTAGCATGCTAGCTTTCGTGACATTGTGAGCTGCTACTCCGAGACTTTCGTGGGAATCTGCCTCACTGCCAGTGTAGTGCGATCCCGGACTACAGCTCTCAACTCGCGCTTGGCCAGCTGCTTCAGCTGCTTGCCAAAGCTTTTCTGAACCTCAGGTACAAGAACTTGCGGCGCTTTCTAAGTCTAACGGTGCTTCTGACAGGTTGATGCTCGTCAGTCTCAATGATATTTTCCTCACGATTGAGAAGTCCCACCGCACTGAATGAAGCCAAGAATGCCCTCCTCGCACGGCCTTTGGGTGTCCTTGGCTACCAATGCCAAAAAGTGCCAATGCACAGTTGTGTGAAAGGCTTGCCCTGCCTGCATAGCTCATGCTGCTGTTGCTGCTCATGCTCATGCTCATCTGTTGAGCCTGATTGCTAGCGATACACTGGACACATTGCAAATGACTTGGATGGCAATACTACTCAAAACCACTTGCAACACCCCTAATGAATCAGTATGAAAGGTGCCTGTGGAAAGGCCGGACTCGCTACTGCGATGAAGTGCTCCATCTATTTGCTCTTGAGTCCAAATGCGAATCAGCTCATCGGTCTTTGGCTTTGGCTCCTAGCGGCTGTGGCAGGCTGCCTCAAAAGTTCAAAGCTGCAATCAAGTCTGCCAAAATACAAGGACTTACAGTAGCGAGCAACTAGCAAGCTTGATCATGTTGAAACCAAGGCTGTTGCAGCAACTAGATGCAACTAGCATAATACCATGTCATACAAAGGCAAACCAGGAAACAACGAGAGAATCACAAACTGCGCAGTCCGTCTGCATCAAGAAAATGACAAAGTCTGCAGGATTGAAGCCCACAGGGCACGGATATCCTACCTGCAGGGTATGGATATGCTCAAAGGCTTTCAACAAAAGGAAGCAAAACAAAAGTCTTTTGGGGGGAGTGAGCCGCTGGAAGATGAGGTAAGGGGGGAGCTTGGCAAGTAGAGAGTAAGCTACATGCAGGGCGCAGTAGAACCACTCCCATGACTGAAACAGTTCCTAGATGTTGAGCGAAATTAAGATTGACCAGGCTGATCAGGCTTGACATTTGCCTTGGTGAAGTGGCTTGCCATGTGATCCCGGTCACCAGCCCACAAACAGTGGCCACCACAAAGACCTCGGCCATGTCTCAAAACTCCAAACCTTTCACGTCTTTCAAACCAAACACACAGCATAAAACATCGAAGCTCGCTCAAAGATCCCAGCATATCACCTGGTCAATCAATGCAAAAATCTCGCTGCTGGGCTGGTGCAAGGTGCCTCAGAGGAGGATCAAAGAAGTCCACGGACTGTAGGAATCCCGTCTCACCCTTAAAATGATTTAGGCCATCGACAAATGACAGTGCAGCCGGCTTTTGCGAGATCTGTTAAGACATTCATGACCTCACATGGCTGATGATTGGACTTTCAGCGTTCAGTGCTCTGCAAAACGATGCAAATAATGGTGCCTGATATGCAGCAAAAGAATCCAGGCCGCTTGTCCTGAGAATTTGGTATGTACATTTTACAGCTAATAGCAGCTAAGGTATAGGACTCTGCTGCCATGCACAAGAAAAACAACATTAACTAATGAACAAGTGCTGTCTTCGAGGCAATACCGACCATCAATCATCAACGGTAGAATATGAGGCTGTCGCGGCTCATCCAAGCAAACTATATCAGGCCGTGTGATCAGCTCGACCTGAAGGCTTGCTTGGTCGACACGATCTGCTCTTCTTTTACTCAAAAACCAGGAACACTCAGGGCATGGCACCAATCGCAGTTCGTTTCCTTTGACCTCCTGACAAGCCATTGAGGACTGCATTGCCAATATACCTGGTCCAGCAAAGAAACTCCGCAAAAGCCTGCAGCCTGCAGAAGGTAGGACTCCGACGTGTCTGCGCAACTCCTGAGTCCCAAAGAACCCAGCAGCTCCGAGATCAACTCCTTCCGGTCCTCCTTCAGAAGAATTGAAGATCTCTTCAAATCGCTGAAGCATTGCTGTGACACACTGCTGTCCCTCGGCCCAGAAAGACGGAGCGAAGCAGAGAAGCTCAAGGCCTTCTGCCAATTCAATTCCATGCTTGAAAACTATATCCAAAGAATTCAAGAAATCGACGGTGCAATTATGGCCGTACCCAGATCTACTTTCTCACAAGAACGAAATTGAAATTGCAGTGCACTTCAAGCCTCCGTGGGTGTGGAAGTTGCGAACATCTCGTCCTTCTGCATGACCTGGCAATTGCTGCATGATGTAATCTCCCAAAGTGGGTGTGCATGCCCAGGACCCCGGCATACGCAATCCGCGATCGAACAAGTCGTGGGTCGACTCGCTGCCCCGAAATCCAAACCTTCGCTGCTGATGTTCAGCCCACACCACCTAATAGCACTCCAACCTAATAGCGATGGCCTACAACCTAATAATCCTAATAGCAATGGCCTTCCAACACAATGCTTTTGCTCCAAAGAGAGCATTTGTGCCTGGCCGGTGATGCGGATTCGATGACGCTGCCCACCACTTTGACGACCAGCCAGCACCTAGCAAATATAATGAAGAACAAGCTGTAAGTTGCTTATTGGACTTGGTCTCGTACATTTAGCAAGGTGGTTTTGCCAGAACCACTGGGACCAAGTATGCAGGTGAGCTTCCCAGCCCTGCACAACTGAGAGCAACAAAACTGCTTCTTGCAAGCCATGTGCTTGCCTTGCAGTCCCGCTAACGTTGGTCAGAATTTGAACTGCCTTGCAAACAGCGACAAGACAAGAATATGTTGCACTGGCACTGGAACTGCACGCCGTAGTATTGCTGTCAAGAATACAACAACATCTCAAAAGCCCTAGTTTGCTTTAAACAACAACAACAACAACAACAACTACTACTACTACTACACCTACTACTACTACTACTACAACTACTACAACTGCTACTCCTACTCCAACTCCAACTCGCTCCTCGTGGTGCTTTCGAGGAACTTGCCATGAACACATAGACAAAGCCTTCGACAGTGTCGGACGAATTGCATGGCACTCCGTGAAAGCATTTTGTAAACACACATATCATCGCATCTCCTCCCAACGGAGCTCCAGGGCAGATCCTCCAAAGGAGGAAAACCTGAAAATTCCAATGGTCAAAAAGAAGCAAGCAGCTTCTGATTCAGTTCGATCCGTGGGGAAATTTGGATGGAACTTGGTTGGACTGACGATTTAAGGTCGTGGCCGTGTCCGACCCACAGTCCATCCTTGCTCCTGAAGCAAAACAACATTTACTCTATTAACGAGGCAAAAAAACACACACTATACTTTGAGCAAATATACTTAGCAGTTCAAAAGCAAAATCCAGCACTGACTCTGGTGGATTGCTTCCGGTTTAGTTCTTGCAAGAATAACATAGAATAACTATTTGTGTCGGTGCTTGCTCCAACGGCCAAACGAACTGGCTTTTGTGGGAAAGCTTCAGTCTTTCTGGTACAAGCTGCGCGTGACGGTTCGGTTTCTTGCTTTGGGTCTCTTCTTGGACGACGTCATGATTGCCAGTAGCAGCCGTAGCAATGGGAAAAAGGCAGAGTTCAAAGCAGAGCGTCATGATGCACAAGATTGTATAATTAATGACAGCTTCAGCAGCACGAAAGGCTAAATGTGTGGAAAAAATGGTTCCTTGCATGTTGTTTTGGCAACTCTGCAATACACCTTGATTTTTCAGCCAAGATCAGCCGAGTATAGGCTTTGCAAAAACACACATTTTATATGTACGAAATTGTTTCAGTGCCGTTTTTCTGTAAAGCCTCGCATCCCAACGGTGGGTCCGGTACAATCGGCAAACACCGCACGGCACATACACAGCAAAGAGCCAAACATGATGAGCACAAAGGACTGATGGAACGACGCACAGAAGGTTGTGGGATAGTCCAAAAAATAACAGAGAGAACTTAGCTTGAAAGTCGCAATATGCTACCCTGCATTTCATTCACAATGAGACTCTGCACATCCTCTTCTGGAGGTCGAGCTAGTTCTGGTGGATCAGCATCACTGTTCCAACTGTGGCAGCAAAAGGTCGTATTCTGCTTGCGTGCACAAACAATAAACGCTGACAAGCTAGTGGTCCTGCCTATCTCATGTTTCGCTGCAACATTGATCTAACTCAATGCGACAAAAAGACACTGAACCTGCTGCTGCTGCTGCTGTTGCTATTTCTACCAGTCCACCACAAACCCGCCTGTGGCACGCAGGCCTTCGACCTCTGACACCTGGGGCATGTGTCCAAGGTCAAGCAATGAGTTTATTGGCTGCATCCCATTCCAAGGCTCAACAACATTCCACAGGAGATGCGAAATGTGCAGACATGTGTCAGATGGAAAAGGGAGAAATGCGATTGCTAGTACACGGACCGACACGGATCTTGCTGATTTTATGCGGTTCTGAGGCAAGCATTGTTGGCCGCAACATGCAGCTGAACCAATGCTTGAGCTCCCCAGCGAATGTTGCCATTGCCAGGTGCTGGCGAATGTATGAGTGACGAATCCTGGAAAAGAGAAGAGTTCCACAAGGAGCTGATCAATCCTTTTCCAAAAGAGAATACCATTGACCATTGGTTTCGCAAAATTCCGTTTCTCAAAATATGAGCTGAAGCGTATCAAGCACACAAGAGCCCACAAGGTTTGCGAAGCAAGGACGGCCTCGGAGTTGAAGCCACCTGGTCACAAGCATGAGGCACGGCCTCCTGTGTGTTTGATCCTATTCTGAGATGCTCAACTTGACAGTCTTCCCTTCTTGGGTCCAAACTTCCCTCCTCAAGCTCGATCAACCGGTGGGCCCCATCCTTTGAACTCTTCAAGTGCATGTCAAGAGCTTGAATATTAAATGCATCATTCTACCAAATTGAATTTATTTGAATTCACCTGAGAGAGATCCATCATGGAGCCACCAGCGCATCTCTGAGGGCTTCAAAAGGGATAGCAATCGACTTGGATGAATGTGTCCTTTAATGCAAGAAGCTTACAGTAGTAGTGTGGACTTTGTTCCCCAACAATCCTTCTAGTACCTTCAACATTGTTAGAACCAATGTCATCTTCCGCTGCGTTCCACCACTTTGACACCTTCTAGTTTCTCTTGCATTGAAGCCTGTAGTGGCAAGGCCCTACACAAAACTAGAATCAAAGGGATCCTTGCTGAGGAGTGGGTGCATATTGACAAGATGAGCTGTAGGCCATTGGCAAGTATAGCACAAGCAAAAATAACACCAATTTGAAAGGCAATACCTTCTCTCCTGGAAGGCTTGGCACATCCGAGGCCGTCCACCGTCCACCACACAATTCTTGACAGAAACGATGCGCGAGAATGCACGTGTCTTTGCACGCGAAACAACTTTGTGTCTAATCAAAACAAGGTAGATCAACACGATAAAATGATCATCCTTCATCAGGAGTATTGCCTTCTTTGGGCATCCTCAGGATTCTGGCCAAAATGGAATTGCCTGTGCCCAATCTCAAAGTCTTAGACTTTACAGCCGAAATAACTTGACAAGGGCAAAGGGCATGCCTCCAGAATCTCTTGTAGTCCCGGCACAGGAATGCACGGACACGCCTTGTTCAAGGGATGTTTGTTGTGATTTGACATGACTCACACATTATGGTGCATCAATTTTAATCGAGACCGGTGATGACTTGTTAGATCAAAGGTTGTAACCAGCGCGCAAATGGGATAACTCCAAGCCGGATCCTGGGCCATGAGGACAACTCCAACCATCAAAGCACCAGGATCATGACTACCAAGGGCCAGTTATCTGGTCCGAGCCTGCTCCAACCATGTCGCTGCCAAGTGAAATCTAGATTCCTCTGGCCTGCACAAAAACGACCCACTTGACTGGACAAAGTCTCGCAGCTAATGACTACAGCAAGTCAGCGCAAATGCCAGCATAAACATCACCAAATGCCAAATTGTGACGTAACCTCCTTTGTTGCGCAGCATCTGAGGCACAAACACAAAGCATTCAAAGGGTGCCCATGGATGCTGGATGTCCAGCAAAGGCCTGTGGCCTCGTTGTCCGTCCCAAGATTTTGCAAGTATTGCTAGTTGGGGTCCAATCACACGGAAAAATGATTGCAGCCTCAAGACTAGTTCCTAAAACACCTGGACCTTACTTCACTCTTCAATTCTCTGAAGTGGCGTGGGAACCAACAAATCAGCCACTCGGTGGGGCATCTGACCGCTTTGCGCAGCAACAATGTGGGGGACATGGGGCCTCAGCACACAATGTCCGTGCGAATGCAGCTATTCAACAATATTCAACATGTAGAGTCGAATATCTTCACCGATTCTTTCTTGTTTTCTAGTTGGTCAATATGCCGGAACATTGTTTGTGTTGCTTCTTGGGGTTGTTAAGTCCTGAACTCGTGGAAAAGGTCCAACCTAGTGCATCCCACATAGAAACTCAACTTGGTGAAACAACAAAAAGCAAATCGATTGCTCTGCATATATCGCTGTCAAATACATTCAGTGCCCAAAAAGAGGCCCACCTCGGATGTTCGAGAGTTCCAAGATCTGGTTGCCGTATCTGGTCTCGAAGATTTAGCTGCATTCCCGCATCCTCAATCAAACAAAGAATGGTCTTGTTTGAGCGCCCTGCTTTCTCATTTTGACGGGAAAGGCCTTAAGACCTCTGGGAGAAGAGGAACAAAAGAGGGGTTGGGGTCGGTTTGGATATTTTCTTACTTATTGGGTTCAAGGTTCTTCAATGATCTTTTACAATATGTTGCTCGCATAAAGGAATCAGAAACTTCCCTTTCAATTGCCCTCTACATTTAGAATGCTCTCTAAGTTCCTTCTTCAGCCTTTTGAGTTGCTTTCCTTCTCATGCTTTTGCGGAGCCGTTCCAACTTAATTGTTGCTTGACATGCCTTTTGAATGTTCTTTTGCGGGTCCTTTTTACATTCCTCTTCAACGTCTCTTTACTGTATATTATATACAAATATGTGTGTTTTGCGGAAACCTTTTCCATAATTGTCCACTTTCCTATCAAGTCGCTCCCTTTGAAATCCTTTCTTAACTTTCTTGTACGTATATAATATTATATACAGTAATATAAGTTGACACTGGCCTTGGGATAGTTGTTGAGGGTCTGGAAAAGAACAAGAAAACAAAAGCGCTTGATTGACCCAATGAGGACATGCTTGCAGGGCGGCCCCTGCACAAAGATGCAACGTGACAGCCGTAGCCGTAGCAGAACCAAAGCGATCGTGGCCAGGACCCCCTAGCGTGTCCTAAAGGACGGAATCCGCAAAGGGGCATCGCAGAACGCGGCACCTGTTACTACTAGCGTGGCACTTGTTACTACCTAGCGATGCACTTGTTACTACCTAGCGTGGCACTTGTTTCTAATAGCTTTTTGTTACTACTAGTAAGGCACCTGTTACTACTAGCAAACAAAACAACGCCGCAACGCCCATCAATAAACTTTGCGGCAGAACGCCAATCTGAAGCACCGCGCTTCGCAGACCATCAAGCGCAAACAGGCTAAGTAGCTTTTCCCCCTGGGCTCAAAGGTCAGGCCCCGGCCCGCGGGCACTTCTTGTGGGACACGTTCAAATGACTGCTGCAATCGATTGCAAAGGATGGCAAAGGGCAACAAAAAACCGCATCAAATATACCCCCGAACCAAGGGATGATGTTGCAGCTTGCAGCTCGGTTATTTCCCACATAGAACCGTTAGTTCTGCGCTTGTGAATGTTGGGTCCAGCTCAAAGGGTGGCAAGAAGCCCGAAGGCCCATGTGAAGAGGTGCAAAACAGGAAAGAGCCGAAGCTGTGAAAATATCTACGTGTGCTCTCTTGGTCCGCAGGTCCTCGTATCGTGGAGAGTATATTGGTGAGCTACTAAAGCGACTACTTTTCGCTACATGTTCATAAGGTGAAATTTCTGAAAACAGTCAATGCGACAACAGTCATCTTTTGTGATCTTCTGCTGCCAAAGCTGCATCGCAGGCCTCCTGGTTGTGCAACAGCAAAAGATTGATGCAGCAGAACTGAACTCTCGCACTATACAAAGTTGTAGAATCGTAGTTGAACTCAGACCCAACACCTCCCAAAGCAAGGTTGGAAAACTGTTTAAGAGCGACTCTCCCTACCAGTAGCCCAGGGAGGCCATCGCAAGAGCTGAGTTTCCCTAGGAATCTAGGAACCCCATGAATAATAGTACGTGAGCTATCCTGCATCCATGCCTAGTAGCTACTTAAGCTACTAGCTACCTCTTCTACTAGCTACCTAGCTACTACTTCTATGGCCTACCCCTAGAACAAAAGGTAATACAGTTGATGGACGAAATCCTGCATCGATACAGCAACACATGAGGTCCTCTAATAGTACAAACCCCCGTGCCCCCCACCTCAATGTTGTCTCAATGTTTGCTATGTGTGATGCAGGATTTTGGTCATTCAACTTTTTTCTGTTTCAGGCATTTTCTCAACTCAATGTTAAAGAGGGAGCGCGAGGGTATACATGAGTTTGTTCGTCCAGTGGTGCAGGATTTTGTCCATCAACAGTAGCACCCCTGACACGGTTGGGTCATCAAAGATTGCCAGATCTATTGCTGTCAGGTTGTTGGCACAATTGTCATAAACTAGAGCCTGTGCAAAGTCGTAAAGCTCAAATAAGCAATGGAAAAAAGAACAAGTAAAAATCCAAGACGGAGGAAAACAAAAGGTTAGTATTACTAGATATTACTACTCGATACTACTAGCAGTACCAGTTGGCTTCCTGATCCGTTAGCTTCCTGATTTCAACATCCAGAAAGGCCTGGCAGCTGGCGCCCGTTTTGCCCAGCAGCCAGCAAGCACCTCCCTCTGGGAAAGTGCCTGCTGGACCTTATGAAACTCATTGAAAGTCCAGGTTGACACTTGCTAGACACAGCTTGCATGACCCTACTTATTGTATAAGTGCTTGACACACATCTGGCTCCTCTCCTAGCTGCCTGACAACAATGATTGCGTCTGAATCAGGCACCATGACTCTCCCTCCGCAATAGTCTAACATGAGGAAAGCACTTCTCTGCATACGGTTCTGATCCAACCTGCAACAATAACAACACAAAGGCATTGCAAAAAGACCACAAGTCATGAGAAAAGCAACGCGAACACTTTAACTACAGTATACTGCAGTATTCAGCAATTCTTCAGGATGTCTGCCTGCCAAAACATCTCCCGAAGTAACCAGGTTGGCCAGTCGTCGCTTACAAGAGAACCAGTTTCCAAAGCTCTCTCCCTCTCCGCCGTGCGATCTCCTCGTTCAACAGCATCCCATTGACTCAACATTGGCCCTCTTGGCCCAGCTGCAAAGGCTCGGCGGAATCTCCGGTAATACCCTAACACTTGCGCAGAGTTGATTGGCCACCCAGCTTTGTCCAAGCACGCAGCACCGAATGGCAAAAGCCGGACCAATTCCGTTGCAAAATCCATTGCACGCTCTGGGTTGCGATTCGCCAAATGGCGTTGCATGCAAACAATATGTACTAAAATGAATCCTGGAATACAGTCTGACAGCGCAGTGGGTCGATGTGACTCCTCGTTCTCAGGTGAATACAAGCAGGATTGCCTTCTTGTAGAATAATGCAATTGATCTTCTGGATCGAGCACTCGCAATGGGTAGTCTGGAGTCCAAAAGATATCCATAAGGCCCCTTCGGGTGGCGACCCAAAAGTCATGGTGCTGCATGCAGTCGCACGGGTCATTCAAACTCCCAATGCCTTTCTGTGCCGCAGCAAGCAGCATCAAAGAGGCAACACAGCTAAGGGAATGAAAGAGCATGAGACGTCTTCTGAGTGTCGGCCATCACAAGCAAAGTCTGAAGCTACACTTGTTTTTCGCTGCTCTCCTTCTGCGAGTGGATCTTAATCAGCGAAGTT